TAGCATGATGTTTGGTTGATTCAATTATGATTAATGCCTATATGAATGATTGATGTGTGAACTGTTTTGACATGTCGTGCTGTGGGTGGTCGAAAGGCGTGAATCCTAGATTGTAGAGCCAATGGTGAATCTTGAACGTTTGATAATTTTGTGCATTTGCTTAAATTGATTAGAAATGCATGAAGGAATTGTTTGTGAATGTGAACCAGGTGTGATTGGTTTGAATGGATGATGAATATATATATGTTTTCTTTTTGATACATATATGTTGAGTGCATAATATATATATATATATATATATATATATATATATATATATATATATATATATATATATATATATATATATATATATATATATATATATATATATATATATATATATATATATATATATATATATATATATATATATATATATATATATATATATATATATATATATATATATATATATATATATATATATATATATGCGATGAATGTGAAGAATGCATGAGTATGTTTGTAAGCATGTATGCATTTCAAGAAGTGTAAGAAGTACATTCTTGTGCTGATTGACTCTTAGGAGAGTCTGATGAGTGATATGACTTTTAGGAGAGTCTGAAGGGTGAATTGATTCCTAGGAGGATCTGATGAGAGATGTGATTCCTCGGAGAATCTGCTGAGTGACCTGATTCCTAGGAGAATCTGATGAATGGTGTGATTCCTCGGAGAATCTGACGAACGATATGATTCCTAGGAGAATCTGACGAACGATGTGATTCCTAGGAGAATCTGACGAATGGTGTGATTCCTAGGAGAGTCTGATGAGTGATGTGATTTCTAGGAAGATCTAATGAGTTATAGGATACCCGTGAGGGGTGAGAGTAAATTGATTCTTAGGAGAATCTGATGGACGATTAGGTCGATATTGTGTTGCATTTGCATAGAGTAGCGAGTTGGCCTCTATGATTTGCATTTACCTTCTGTGCATGGTGTATGGTGAAATAAATATGTTATGTACGTTTGTTGAATTAATGTGAAATGTATGATTTGGAACAATGTAGATGTTGGACAATATATACATATATGTGTGTGTATGTTTATGAAATGATATACACATTGATGATACATATTGAGCACGCTTGGGTCCTATCTGTATATAGATACATTGCAATAAACGAGGTGAGTTGTGGTGAGAATGCGTAAGATGCATAATTGTTGATACGATATATATATTCATGCCTTTATGCATTATTTATTATGACATTGTTTCTCACCCTTCTGCTGTTTGATAATGCTCTATGAGGCATTGCAGATTAGACGGCTGGAGACATTTTTGTGAAGCGTGACTTCATTCTTTTTGGTCGGTCGGCTCTGATATGTAGCACCGGGTAGATAGGTGTTATTTTGATTCTTTTGTGATACATCTGTGTATGTATCTACTGATGTTATGTTTTGTTAACATGTTGGATGACAATTGTATATGTGAATACATGTCTTGGAAATATGGAATATTTAGATGTTTCCGCCTTGTTCTAAATATTTTCTTGTGGGTGTTGACCCGTTGTTGCATATCTGATTGAGCAGGTGTTGTATGCGTTGAATTCTTTTGTGATAATGTGACATACCCCTTTTATGCCATGACTTATGTACTCTGATAAAAATTTGAATTATGCTTAAATGATCAATTGTATTATTTGGGGGTATAGAAAGGGGGTGTTACAATTAACACTATTGTTGAACATGTTTTTGGCTTGTAAACACCAGGAGGTTAACCGTTTAACACTGTTGCAGAGTGACATTTTCTTGCATTTTCATGCTTGTTTGGATTCCTTTTCATCTTTAAACTTCATGGATTGATATTATGCATATTTATGGACTATTTTTTAGCTATTTCATCTTAATTGATAACATGCTTGTGATTCTTCGACACGTGATTTGTAATTTTCAATGATGAATGTTTATGATTGTTGTGTTGAATCTTTGGAGTGATGATCATGTTGCGTAATCATTTGTACCGTGTCAATTACTGGTTGTAAATGTTTATCTTGTTGGATGCATGTCACATGCTTATGTTTGTTTTCGATTCCGCAAACGTACGATTGTTCAAATGATTAATTGGTGTTGGATATGCATGATATTCTCGTAAATTTTTTAATTGTGCATCGAACTTGTTTTGTGCTTAATTGTTAATACATGTTCATGATTGATCCCCACCATGTCGTATGCATTTGTTGAAATGTTGATGTATGCATGTTGCCTAACCTTTTACACCTGTTGTTTTGGATTTTAGTATGTTGCTAATTATGTATCCATTCCGCCTGCTGATTTTTACACATGTTATGTGCTGAAACATGAGCTGTTAAATGTTGTTGTGCTTTTTTGCTAGTTTTTTATTGCTGTTCTAGGGCTGAAGCACTGTCATAGCTGCTGTTTTTGGTTTGTTCTCGTATGCTCCCTTAGAACCTCCTAGTCCAATTTAATTTTTTATTAAGCTTGGAGTAGGTTAGATGTTAGGGGTTTATCCATGAATGATAACGTTAGACTAGTCCCTTTTTTTAACCTCAACCATATGTCCACTTTTGTATGCTAATATTAGGATAGAAATTTCTTTCGCATCCCGACCTTAGGGCCATTTTGCATGACAACGTTAGGACCGAGTTTCCTCTTAGACCTTCCGTGCGTCTCTCTCTTCTTCTCTCTCAAAATAACATCAAAACACTTAATAAATATAATGTGCATTGTATGCCACGAGCCTTAAGTACATGGGAAAGGATGAGCGAATGAATTTCTAACCTCATCTTAGGGTACTTTGTGCGCGATACGCTTGGATTGTTAGCGTGAAGTATTCGATCCTATATCATAGACTTTAGTGCGATGCATATTTCAAATAAAGTCAATTCAATTCTCTAAAAATCACAAACAAATTCAAATCATTTTCATCCTTTGGGATCGTGTGTCAAATCATTTTAAGAAAGAGTACATTATTTTTTCGTTCTACCGCAAATAGACATCAACCCTAACCGCTGGAATAGAAACTTAGCATCACTCATAAAAAATACGTATTGACTCATACGTCGAACTGCGATTGCTCTGACTTCTTCATTCTCGTCCGAATGAGGATACGTAGGCACAAGACCATGAAGTCTTGGCGATCAACCTTTCATTTCATCCGTAGTTTTCTGAACTACGTTGACTCTGACTTTCCCATTGTACGAGGGAATACGTAGGCATAGGACTGCGAAGTCGTATCAAGTCTCTTTTTTCCCTTTTCGTTCTCGTTTCCGTTTAGCATTAGGCTTTAGATGACACACCCTTTGATTAGACAACAAGCGTGGATCCCGTTGAGTACAACGGACGCGAGGGGGTGCTAATACCTTCCTCTCGCGTAATCGACTCTCGAACCCAAGATTTTGTGGCGAGACCATGTCTTCTCCCTTCTTTTAGGTTTTCTTCGAACGTTTCCTTTTTCCCGATGGGATAAATAATGTTCAGTGGAGACTCTTCTGTTTTTTCCACCGGGTATTTTTCGCAGTTGCGACAGATAAGTGTGTGAGTTCTCCCACTTATAAATGCTCAAATCTCCACATTTATAACCAGTGTGGGACTCCAACTCACACATGATTTATTATTCTCAACACTCCCCCTCAAGTGTGAGTTCACAATACTCTTGCTCAAGTGAAAACTCTTTTGTCCACATACATTTGTATCGCCTTTGGCACCTCTTCTTGGACATTTCGATACACCTCTTCCTGAACATTTTGATATAAGTAAGTCGACCCCTTTACTCGAACCAATGACTCATGATACCGTTTGTTAGTTCATGAAGAGAAGCATCAACATTAGATTAAAAATAACACACAAGTGAAAGAGATACCACATATTCTCCCAAAACTTTAAAGTAATAAATATGTAAGTTTTTCTACTTATAAATACTCAACTCTCTATATTTATAATCAATGCAAAACTCCAATTCGCACTTAATTTATTATTCTTAACGGACAACAAATGTCTAACCATTTCAAAATATTGTAGCATATCTTTAAAAAAAAAATTACATCCAAAATAGGTGATTCAAATTTTCGTCAGTTCCATAACCCTAAACATTTTAAAGAATTGTTGTTAATACTTCGATTTAAGCTCTCTTTTGTAGGAAAAATATGTTATGAAAGAGTCTCCATTCAAACACAAACACTTTCAACAAAAATAACTTATTCTAAACAACCATTAAAGATTCTAAGAAGATAAAAAATGAAAATTTCTTTAAAAACTACAAACACTTATTGTGAAATAAGTAAACAGAGTACTATTATTATGCATCATATAAATTGATCTTAAAAATTTAAACTATTGATAACATGTGTCCAAAGAGCATCTTTAATATATTAAAATAGACCCAAACACTTTGCTATTTAGTCAAATACTTGCTTCTTACTTTACTCATCATAATAATTACTAGAACTTTAAAAAAACAAATCTCTCATCATATCTGATGTAGTACTGTCATGATCTTTTAGCATTCCCACCTCACACACACTCTTCAAGTCAAGCCAAAACAAAAATGAAAAGATGAATTTTTACCCAAGCAAACAACCCACATGGCCACGGTTAAATTATTTTTACAACTTAGTACACTCTAAATTTCTAAAACTCACCAATAAATAAAGGCACCAAACAAAGATCAAACTCTTGGAACACCATTACCCCATTTTTTCTCTTTCTCTTTTTCAACTCTGAACCTTGCTCGTTAGGTTTCCTGTCTCTGCTCAGAGACTTCACAAATCACAACCATTTCTTTTCTCTATCATTTCCTTCTATTTTCTTTCTAAAACTAAGAAACCTACCAAACAAGAAACTCCATTTTCCTCTCCTTTCTTTAATTTTTCCTCTTTTGTTCTCTTTTGCTCAGATCTATAATCTATAATCTATAATCATAATCAGCCTTCTTGCTCTATTGCCCAGATCTTCATTTATCACAAGTTACAAACTTTTCTTCTCTTGGGACTTTATAAAACATGAGCAAAGAAGAATTTCTGAAGATACAGGTTCTACTCCCATCACATTCTCCATGTCTTTCTTATTTTTGTTTTTTCCCATTTCAGTATGAAACTTATCATAATTTGCCTTATTTTTTCAGAAATCTGTTCTTAAAGTGAACATACACTGTGACGGATGTAAACATAAAGTGAAGAAAATCTTGCAGAAAATTGATGGTTTGCACCTATTATGATAATTTATTTAAGAAAAAAAACATTATGGTTCTAATTAGAATCATCCTAAGTAAAACAAAAAACAAAGTCTTATGATTTTTTGTGTTGGTTAATGATTGACAGGGGTGTTTACGACTGAGATCGATGCAGAACAGGGGAAGGTGACGGTTTCCGGGAATGTAGACCCAAACATTCTCATCAAGAAGCTTGCAAAATCGGGAAAACACGCAGAGTTATGGAGTGTACCCAAACCAAACAACAATAACAACAACCAGAACAATCTTGTTAGTCAGTTAAAGAACATGCAAATTGATAATGGTAAAGGTGGTGGAAACAAGGACAACAACAAAGGTCAGAATCAGAACCAGAAGGGTGGGAATAGTAACCAGCCCAAAGGTGTTCCACCAGGGTTAAATCCTCAGCAGGTGCAACAACTTCAGCTTCAGCAACAGTTGCAGCAACTGCAACAGATGAAAGGGTTTCAAGATCTGAATATGCCACAGTTTAAGGGGATGAAGATGCCTAATCAGAACCCGAATCAGAATGTTAAAGGTGTTAAATTTGATTTGCCTGAAGATGAGGATGATTTTAGTGACGATGAGTTGGATGATTTTGATGATGACGATGAGTTTGACGATGAAGAAGATTTTGATGATGAAATGGATGAGTTGCCACCACCTAATAAGATGAAACCACCTATGGCTATGGGGAACGGCCCTCACATGATGATGAATGGGAATCATCCACAGCTTATGAATGCTATGAAGGGCGCTGATTTTAATGGCGGTGGTGGTGGTGGAGGTGGTAACGGGAAGAAACCTGGTGGTGGAGGACCTATGCCGGTTCAAATTCATGGTATGGTTGGTGGAAATGGCAACGGAGGAAAGAATGGCGGAGGCGGTGGTGGAGGAAACAAAATTAATGGCGGTTTACCAGAGGCTAAAAATGGTGGTGGTGGTGGAAACAAGAATGGTGGTAATAACAATGGTAATAATCAGAATAATGGGGGTAAAAAAGGTATTTCCATGCCAATGGGTGGGGGTGGTGGTAATGTTCAAGCTATGAACAATGGATTTCAAAAAATGATGGGTGGTGGCGGCGGTGGTGGAGGTGGTCATCCTCACCCTTCTATGGGTGGTGGTGGTGGCGGCGGCGGTGGTCATCCTCACCCTTCTATGGGTGGAGGTAATGCCGGACAAATGAGCATGCCAATGAATCAAATGGGTGGTAATTTGCCTGCCGCCGTTCAAGGTCTCCCTGCAGGCGGCGGCTTTCAAGGCGGTGGTCCGGGTCCGGAAATGATGCAGGGAAATCCTTACCAACAACAACAACAGCAACATCAGCAGCAACAACAACAATTAATGGCAGCTGCTATGATGAACCAACAACGTGGTGCAATGGTTGGAAATGAAAGATTTCAGCAACCAATGATGTATGCAAGGCCACCACCAGCTGTGAATTACATGTACCCTCCCTACCCTTATCCTCCTCCAGATCCATATTCAAACTTTTTCAGTGATGAAAATACTTCAAGCTGCAATATCATGTGATCAACCATGGTGATAATTTGGTCCAACCCACCCTCTAATTTATGCAATATTATACCAATGGAACATGAGTTTTTTATTTTCATTTTCTTTGATTTGATCCCTTTACAGTTACACCCTAGGGGTTTCTAATCACCATAGAGGGATTATTAGTTTATAGATATATTATATTATATGTTATCATAAATATTTTTATTAGTACTATCACATATGTTTATATGTGTTTATATTTTGGAAATAGTAATAAAAAGATTTGAGAATGATAGTAATGTTATTGAGATTGGGATTGAATGAAACTCTTATCATTCACCGTGTTTGTGTGTGTCTAGTAGTATATTATGGCATCTCATCTTATCTGTACGCATTATTTTGTGTCTGCCTCTGTTGTAATGCGACACAAATGATGGATGTTTGTTTGTGTGAGGAGGTGCGGTGGATACAGTGATTTGGGAAATTCAGCCATTTTAGGTTGGTCCCACTCTGATTCTCTAACTAATGGATGAAATTATTTCAGTTTTGGATCTACCATTCCAAATCCAACCCGAATAGTGGTTTTCAATCACAATCATTTATTTTTAGTTAGTATTAATCTTTTACAAAATGGTACTATTACTATGTGTACTTATGTCTCGTTCAATTTAATGTAGATCTAAGTATAGCATATTTAACTTAGAAATGTTGGTAGTATAAAGAAGAGAGAGAGAGAGGGATGGTTGAAAGGACAAGTTAACCACTTTTTATATTTGTAGTATAGTAAAAAAATTGATCTAACGGCGTTGACACATAGTGATAGAACAAGTGTATAGTCTTTTCAATGCAGCTGAGGTGAGCAGAGCATCATCCAATATCGAGAGAGAAGGGACCCAGTTATGGCACTGTGTGGAGTAGTTGTGATGTTGAGGGTGATATGATATGATAATAATCATGTGGTTTGGTTAAGATGGGATTGATAGATAGGGTGCATTGCATTTCATCCATCAACTCACAGTTTCTTTCTTTTCGTTTCGGATCTTCTTCGTAGCCTACAATTGCCCATAGGGTACAGGATAATTAATACATATACCATCTTTAATCAAAAGATACTCTACACAAACTATTAATAACTAGGGATGGTCATCGGTTCGGATTCGGGCCAAACTCCTCCAACCGAACCGATTCATGGGTGAGACTTATCGACTCAATTTGTTTTCCGGCTTCAGTTTGAATCGAATTCGGGTATAACAATCGATTAATCATAAGTTAGTCCTTAATTGAGCCAAATCAGTTTTCAGGTCTAAATCTAAAATTCATTAATTTTTTTAAAATTTTGTAAGTGGTAACTCTTATTGAGCCTTTTCAGAATTTTAGTTCATATAAAATTGAAATAGAACTTCACTTTTTAAAAATTATCACATTAAATTATTTTTATCTAAAAATATGGATTATTATTTTCTACGATGGATTAGTTTTGACCTATTTTATATTCTATCTGATTCTATTTATAATAAAAAATTATTTTTATATTCATTTAATAATCAACTTATCTAGATAAAGTATATATTGATTATTGAATGAATTAAAAAGTGAGATATTTCTTATTAATGAAATCAGAGGTAGTAATTTACAATTCAATTATAACAAAAATACAAAATCAAATGACATTTACATTTCTTGATGTGAATATTAAACCTATAAAATAAAATAAATAAGCCAAATACAAAAACCCAATAAATTAACCATAATACACAATTAAGTAAAATTTAAAATAAAACTAATGCTCATACATAGTTAAATGATTTAGCCTAAAAACAAACTATTTCTTATCATGCGCCTCTAGCTTTGCCTCTACATTCATACTCTGCCATTTTATAACAAAAAAAACAAAACAAGTAATTAATTAATTAAAGCAAAAAAAAAAAAACAGAGTTTTATAAACCATGATTTACATTAGAAAGCTAATAATTTTCATGGTTCCGGTTTCAATTTTGATTGAAAAATCATGAAATAAACTGTGTTTGGTAAAAAAAAAATTAGAATTTAATCTTCAGCTCATGATATAATTTTATTAACCATGATTTACATTATTAGGCTAAAATGATAATCAAGTTCTATGGATAATGATTTATGAGCTTCATGATCTTTCAATTTGAGATGCACATGATATATTTAACATAGAAAATTATACTATATTTTCATATTCTCTTCTATATTCACTTGCAAAGTATGCACCATGGTGATTTTCTCCAAGATGCTCCATTGTTCATTCTCGCTGCACCTTTTTTTTTTTATCAATCTTTATTAACCCACAAAGGGACAATAAGATCAATTACAATAATTAGAAGTTTTACTCATATTTTAAATAAGATCACTCACAACAATTATTTTAGACGGGTCCAATGGTTGGACATAACCCAATTCATTTCTGCGTTCAAAATGACCCAACGGTCTAAATCCTACCAGCTGAGGGCAAAGAAAAACATTTTCCCTTATGTCCCTCAACTGAGGAGATCTGGTCAACTTATCCCCATGAACAGTTGTCCTTCGCTACATTTTTTCCCGCTACGCATAGTTCATCCATCCATGAACATCCACGACGCCCTTACCCGGAACCATACCCTCTGTTCGAAGCAACGACTAGTTCCAAGCAAGTCTGCCCGTCCCAACAGCTAGTTTCTAACAGTTACATATTCTTAGGGAGCAAATATATCGCCCCGAAAATAGAGACCGTTGGCCACGCGCTGGGGGCATTATAAAAACCATATCCCTCGATAGGGTTAGGTATTCAATATTTAATAATCATCCTAAGACATACTCACTTTGTACTTGCTTTCTCTTCTCTCGATTCTCACTTTAACATCGGAGTGCCTTGTAGGTACACCCCCTCCTCATCTGAAACCCAGCATCGCAGAAAAAGTCTCTGGCCCACTTTAGGTTCTGATCAACCGGTAAGATCAATGGCGCCGTCTGTGGGAAATTATGTTCTCCCTGTCATTCTTTCCTCGTAAATCCAAGACCAAATCAGTTCTTTCAAGATTCCGATCATGGCCAGCCATGACAATGTCCACGATGCTCGCAACGTAGTCGTCCTCTCCGTCAGCAAGACAGACACTAACGAAGCAACCTCTTTTCTTGGGAGCGACGTCCATCAACAGAGAGATGGAGCCACCGCGTCTCCCTCCCCGGATCGCGCTGACAACGCTGAGATCCAGTACTCGGAGGACCACCAGCCTGTTCCAGTTCTGTCCAACGCCGATCCGACCATAGCTGCTCTACTTGAGGCCCTCAACAAAACAAACCTTCTGATCCTCTAACAGAACGCAAGAATTGGAGCCTTAGAAGAAACCCGTTGTCCAAGATCTCGTCCGCTGAGGCAAGAGCACCGGAGATCCCGGATACCTTCTCCCGAACGAGGAAGAACCATCGGGAACCAACGGAGCCAGAATCTCTGGCAGTAAGGAAGCGCGATCATGCTTCTCCCCAGAGCCAACACTCCCTAGGGTCCAAGAGAGCCAGAAGGGATCTATGGACAAAGCACCAATGTTCGCCTCTACCCAGATCCAAGGGCCCAGCACGAACTCTATCTTCCCGTCGAGATTGTCGTCCTGGACGAAGTACCCGCTCTCCATCGCAGTCTAACAGCAGCATCAACGACGAGTCTCGAAGACCGTTGTCCTAAGAAATTATGGCCACACGCCTACCTAAAGGGCTGGAGAAACCCCCACCCCTGGGTACATATGATGGCACTACAGATCCTGACGAGCACATCAAGAACATCGATGTCCTGCTCGATTACCATGGCGCCAGGGGCACCGTAAAATACAGATTATTCCCGACCACACTGAATAAGTGAGCAATGTCATGGTACAAAAGCCTCCCTTTAGAATTCATCACATCATGGAAGCAGCTGAGAAGGATGTTCTCTGGACACTTTACAACCTCTCGTCGTCACCCAAAGACAGAAGCCTCCCTTGAGGCCATCATCCCAAGGAAAGACAAACCTTTTCGAGCCTATATCGAAAGGTTCAAAAGAGAATCCGTCCAGGTCTCCACAATAGACGATATGAAGAAGTACTTGCTCGAGTGAGGACTCCGTCCCCGCAATGACTTTGTCAAGGCGGTTGGAATTGAGACTCTAGAGACACTGGACGCCCTCCTCCTCAAGGCTCAGGCATACATCTAGTACGAAGAAAAGGAAGCTGCAAACACGGCCTAGAACTCGAGGCACCAAGAGAGCACCAGGTCCTCCAAGCACGACGACTCCTCGTCAACTCGTCGGGGAGCAAAGAAAAGGTGGGATGACTACCTACGAGAGTTCCGAGATCACAAAGGGCCTTCTGGATGTTTTCACGAATACACTCCATTGGCCTTCTGTCGTGAGAAGATTCTCTTCGAGTGTGCAAACTTGAAGTTCCGGCAGGTAAGGGTCTGTTTCCCGAAACAGATATTGGCCAAGCTGAACACAGATAAGACGAAGTACTGCCGATTCCGTAAGAGCCACAAGCATATGATAGATGAATGCATCCATCTCAAATATGAAATTGAGATCTTGATCAGGGACGGGCACCTGAAAAAATTTTCCAAGAAGAAGGACGCTTCTGGGCAGGACGCCTAGGAGTCAAAGAAGGTCAAAGAAGAGGTGCCTTCGTCAGACGAGACCAGTCTTCAGGTCACCATGAGAATCTCACAACCGGAAGACTTCTATGTCTCCGAGGGGAGCAACGTCCCTCCTTACTTTGCTACACATAGCCCATGGGAAACCTTCCCCTCCGCCATGGTCATCTCGGGAGGGGAATTCAATAAGGTGACCATGAGATCCGTCAAGAGGAAGTTCAAGCATCTCATCAACACAAGCTCGAACCAGAGTTCAACACTTGATAAAGTCTAGCAAGAGTCGGTTCCCATCACTTTCTACCGCGAGGAACTCCTTGACAAAGCTCCCAACTCCAACATTCCTCTGCTCGTAAGGACACAAATGGCCAACTTTGACGTTCGTCAGATTCTAGTCGACCAGGGAAGCTCAGCCG